GGAGTTTGCGATACAACACGAAAAAGAATTCGCCACTGTTGTTGAGAACCTTCGGAAGGCCCAACACAGAATGATAGAGCAGGCTAACAAGCACCGTCGCCCATCACAGTTTCAAGTAGGCGACTTAGTCTGGGTCAAGGCAAAAGAGATTGCACGGGAAGAAAACACCTCGCAGAAATTACTGCCTTCATATAGAGGACCGTGGCCGGTTCTCGAAGTCAAGGGCGGAGAGGATGGACCGTCCTACAGCATTGAGATTCCAGCACACCTCCACACATACCCTGTGTTCCATGCTTCAAAGCTGCTACCGTGTGTCACTAGTCAACAGTTCCCTTCTAGGAGATCCATGATCCCACTGGATATGGATGGGAGCTATGACATAGAGGCACCGTAGAAGAGGATGTGTTTAGGACAGGAGATAGAGGTCATTCCCAGAAACAGTATAAAGTCCGGTTTGCCTATCAGGAACCGGAAGACGACCGCTGGTTCACGAAAGCAGAACCTCTAGAGACTGCTCCCGACATAGTCAGAGCCTATGAGCGTGACAAGAAAGGTAAAGGTCCCGCCTTGGACTAAAATTTTCTAGGAGGACCTCGAATTTAAAACGGCGGGAGTGAAACGGTTTTCACCTTTTAGCAGTAGCGGATGCAGTACCCAGGGTTCGATCCCTAGACCTCACCCTACCCATGTACAATATTTGTGTAGACCCCGAGAATTGAATCTATGACCTGTGCATTCGTAGGCAGTTGGTAGACCTGTCGTAGGTCCATGGACAGCAGGGGTTCGATCTTTAGGTCTATAGCGTATGAGTCTTAGTGAGTTCTGGAAGCTTAGTTGTAGACCTTCTAGAAGATAGGCAAGTGGGCAAGTGGTTAAGTGGCGAGGCAAGTGGTGGACTAAACCGCAGTGCAACAACAGTACAACGTCGGTAGGATGGCGGTGAGTCCACAGTCAGTCAGCGGAAGGTCCAGCCAGTCCCAGTTCGGTCCAGCAAGTACCACAGGGGGACTGTGAGCACCAAGGGCCGATGGCAAAGGGAAGACCAACGAGTTTCTAAAGTGTAAATCAAGAGGCAGCGCCCAGCCATTCATTCATTCCTGCGTGAGCCATGCCGAAGCGCTGCCACAGCGACTTGTGCAAGGAGGTTTGCAGATGAGCCCGGAGGACGCAGTGGGCAAGAGAGAGGGAGTTAGCATAGCGATAGGTTAGATGCAGCGACAACTGCCATAGCCGTAGTTAGAAGTGAGTGTGTGTGTGTGCTCGAGTGTTAGAGTGATGCGTGTAGGATATCCAGGGTCATCCCATGTATGTGAACAGTGAGATGTTTGGGCGCTGAAGTCGCCATAGCTAATAGAGAGTGAACTCGTATCTGAAAGCCATATCTACGAGTTTTTGAGTGGGCGCATGTCGCCAGTATGCTGCGTTGCTGTTTACATGCATGAAAAGTGTGTTTGAGAACGAGTCTGATTGCATATATATATATATATATATATATATATATATATATATATTGGTATTGCAATGAACCCACATCATGAACACGATTGTCAAAAAAGAACCCAGTTCAATTATTTTTTCGTATATATAAGTTTTGGCGGGGTAACCGGCGTTCGGGACGGGCCGAACGCCCGAACCCGAACGCCCGAACGTATGGGACCCCTTGGGAATGCGTTCGGCCGTTAAGGCCGAACGCGCGGACCCAAAAAAAAAAAAAAAAAAGACATCAAAAAAATCTGAAAAAAAGATATGTTATGGAGAAAAATAAATTAAACAAGATTTTCCTGAGCATTACATCCGAATTACTTACCAAAATTGAAATAAAAATAAAATACACAGAACACATTCTAATAATAAAAATAAATAAAAATAAAAAGAGAATTAAATTACGTGAGTGAGCGAGCATGTTTTCGACACCTCCATCTTTGGCGATTTTTCATTTTTTTTTGGCATAGCTAAATGCCCTGAAAATTTACAGATGTGTACTTCACATAATACAAAACCCAATACAAAAGTTTCAAAAAATAATAAAATTGTTTAGACCCCGAACTAAAGTGAAAACAAAAAGTAAAAACTGAAAAACAATGTAGGCGAGCACGTTTTGACACCGCCATCTTTGGCGATTTTGAATTATTATTTGGCTAAGCCAAATGACTTGAAAATTTATAGGCCCCCGGGCGAATCCCGTACGTTTGGGCGTTTGAGGTCCCGTACAGGGTCCGAATCCGACGGCGTTCGGCCCCGACAAAAATTATTTTGGGGCCTAAAAATAATTTTGTTTTTCTGAAGTTTTCTTTATGAATTCTCTATGACGTGAGGTACACACCCGAAACCGAACGCCCGAACGTATGGGACCCCTTGGGGATGCGTTTGGCTGTTCCGGCCGAACGCGGACCCCAAAAAAAAAAAAACAAAGTCATCA